TAAGTAATATTCACTTCTTTGAGGCTGAGGCTTATACTCGGTGGTGTCTTAACTTTTCTACAAGTTCATCAATATTTGGGGTCAGGCTCTGAGCTGAGCAAATCCTCAAACTTGAGTGAGGGTGTTCAGCAGTAAATCGACTTCTGTGTGATGTTTTGTTCAGCTTCATCAAAGAAAATAGTTGTTCACACACGTATGTGCTGCCAAACTTTCGACAACGTTTGAGCAGCCTGGATGCGCAGCGGGGCCACTGTGTCGGGGAGGAAACGGGCAAACTGCGCAGCACGCACTGCCGTATCTTTGCAGAAACACTGCAATTGTGTTTCTGCTAATCCTCACGTTTAAAAAGAGTTGCTTTTTTTCGGGGTAAACTTCGTCACAAACTTTAAGTATACCGTTTGTAATGAAATCCCCCCTTCCCCCTCCATGTCCGTGTCCATTGTTTTTGTTCGCGTGTTTCGTTTCATGATGTCGTCTCAGATTACACTATTTCAATCGCGCCACACTTTCTCCGCACAGAAGACACACAGGTTTTCCAGCTACGTCCATGAACATGTACTTCGACTCCCACCTTGTTTAAAACCCCCGGTTCTCAGTGTCCGCCTTCCGTTTTGCCATTTTTGATGGGTATCTGAAAGCTAATGTCACTGTTATGGGAACGACTGCTAGACTAATAAATATTTAAATAAAGCGGCCGACTGCTTGGCGCGTCACCGTTGCATTGTGGGAAATGTAGTATTGGTGCGTGTAAAAGATCTGCGGGCTCTCGGCTTGCTGCGGTCCGCGGGCCGGTTCTAATAATAAATCAATATCATCCCAGGGGCCACTGAAAACATTCTCGCGGGCCGGATTTGGCCCGCGGGCCGGTACTTTGACATATTTGCTATAGACCGTCATTTCAGGCACAATGGTTAGTTTCCACCGGCATATTCGAAGGCCCGCACGCGGAAGGAAATCACAAAGAGAGAAGATTAATCCATTGTTGGCATTATGGATCTACTTATGTTTAGGTGGGTGAAAAAAAGTCCCTATAAGGACACCTATCCATTACATTGACACATTGAAAGCAGTCACATCAAAGTCGATATGTTCAAAAACTGAAGTTGGTCGGAGGGAAAGGCGACAGGAAAACGCTGACTCCACGGATAAACTTTCAAAATCAGACTGTTCTAAGGACGTCAGTTTGTTCTCTGAAGACAGCTGTCACAACATCTCTTTATTTTTAACACTTGGGAGGCTTACAATTACTTTGTGTGGGTGTGTGATGGATTAAGATGTTTGCTGCTTTCAATGCAACAACCTTTGTGTGGTGACATCAATGGTATGTTGTTTTTGGGTGACATAGTTCGTCTATCAATACTTTAATGGTATAAAACTTTCATTACGGGTAAATCGTTTGTGTCCCGTTAAATTCGTCTTGCTGCATGTTGTCAATGCCTTTCAAGCTAGCGTTTAGCTTGCTAGCTGCTAACAAAGAGTTGTTTTTCTTACTATGCTACTGCGGATACTTCACAAGTGCGATTTAACTATGAACTGTAAATAATTTTACATAAAATAGCAAGTAAAAACCCAACATGAGAGGTCTATAGAATTATGTAAGTATGCTCCATGATAGGAGTATTGTCATTTAATGATGTAAATATGCTTCATAAGAACAAATCCTATTTAATAATGTTCTATACACCTGGAATGTAGCATGTATTATGTGTATCAAATGTCATTCACGATAAATAATGAACAATAGAGGTGTATGGAAGATTAAATACGATCAAAATAAGCTGCAACAGCAATGGATACTCTTCATATTGAGAGCCAGTGTACCTCTGATGAGTGTCAACAGTGTCCCTTTGTAGAGGCTCCGGATGCCCTGTTCCTTGTAGAGACGTGTGGCACAGTCAAGAGGACCCGAATATTTGGACGTGCCACCACCAGTCGGCACCTACATAGCTCGAACCAACATACATCAGTTGATTTCGGCTGTCAGCTAAGTGCATATTTGAGCTTTTTTAATCACTACCAACGACTTTTTATGTGGACAAGGACTTCATTTCAAAGCTGGAGGACCCAGACGAAACCATTTCAAAGACAAATCTGTAACACCGCTCCACTGACTGATTAACCAAGACCACCCCCTCCCACGAGCTGTATCCACAGTCCTATTTAACTGGTTCCAGTGGTGTCATGGTGTCAGACTTTCGACTTTACCTGCAGTAGGCATTTAATCCTCTCTGCCGGAGCCACAATCACTGTTGTGAAGACCCCGGCCAGACATCCTGACAGGAATATCTGAGGGTGCCTGAACACAGTGACACAAGAGCAATCATCTCACAGAAGAAATAACTTTGAAATATACAGGTCACCTAGTCAAGGGCGGACCGACAGGGTGGCCAGGAGTGGCTGAGGCCACTTTAAGAAAATGGTCACTTCAGAACAAAACGGTCATGTGTTCGCAACCTATCACCATGAAACGTGGGTTTAAACACAACCCGGCTCAACTGATGTATGGATCAGATCTAGTATGGTGGCTTTTAAGGAGATAATCCATACACATTGTAAACGAGGTTGCAGATGTCTTAATGTGGACACATGATGGAAAACTGACTGTCAAATTGCCTTCCCAATCATCAAGTGTGGAAAAAAAAACCAAGTAAATCTTTGGCTAGCTGCATTGGGTTTGTCAACTGCTGTGAAAAAACACAATACAGTACTTAGTACCATTGATTTTTTTTAAAAACACATTTAAACATAAACATACTTTACAAAAACTAGTAACTGTGATGGTGTATGCAAGTATAAAATGGAAAGAAAACACTGTATTGTTTTATCTCAGTGGCAGAAATGTGCCTTTTGACGCCGGGCCTGGTGGGGTGCAGAGTGATGTGGCGAGCTGAAGGTTGGTCGGTTGGCTCAACCTCTGGAGGGTGTGCGTGTGAGTGTTTGGGCATGAGCTGTGGCTTATAGCAGCTTCTGCTCATTGAGGTTAACTGTTCTAGAAGAGCTGAAAAGTGTGGCAAGTGCTTCAAGTTTCAGATCTGACTTCAAGATTCAGACATGACTTTGAGGTTTCGACCTGGCTTTAGTTTGGACCCAGCTAATCTTAGACCTGGCTTCAAGGTTCAGTCCTTGCATTAAGCTCCCGCATGCGTGCTCTTATACTAACGTTAGCTCTTGACTGGGGTCCGTCTGCTGGAGCTGTTTCCCCAACCCAAAGCCAAAGAAACTGATGGCCATCATGGGAGCCACACTCACCAGTGGAGCACCCATCCCTTTATACAGGCCCAGGATCCCCTACACACACACACACACACACACACACACACACACACACACACACACACACACACACACACACACACACACACACAGTTACAACCAAAAGCAGCAACTTTTTCGACACAACATCACTACTGTGGTGTTGTGTCGAAAAAGCTATGCTCTTTGGCCAGGTCAACAAAACAGCATACCAACGTGCAGTTTTGTGAGAGTGTGCGCATGTGTTGTGTGTGTCTTTGCAGGGACCTCTTTGGAGATGGTCTTACGAAAGCAGTCAAAGGTTCCCGTGTAAATGACGTAGCTAGAGAGCGAGGAGGCTTTGGGCTGAGTCTGTAGTCTCACCTAAAACACAGCACAACACCACACACATCATAATATGTGACATATTTGAATAATGGACTTGAACCAAGCTGATTACGTCCCTGTCTACATGCAGTCAGCAAATGAAAAGTGCCTTCTCCAGTTCAGAATGTGCCGCGCCCCGAAGCCGTTGACGATCATCGTTCAATCTGTTGGCCTCAAACTCGCCATGATTTTGTTGCCATTATGGATGACTGTTGAAATTGTTGCCATTTCGAAGTCTCAGCTGAGCTTTGTCTGGGAGACTCCCTTTCGTAAGTAAGAGACAATTTCCGCTTTCACAGGCAGCGAGATTTGCTTCAGTTTACCAGACATGTTTTCAAGAACAGACGTGTGCTCAGAACCGCGCCGTCACTCCGGAAGTGCAACGTACCGAGTCGATCAGTAGCGTTGCCAAGCAACGGACGGGAATCCCACGCTGTACATTTTGTTCATAAGCAAGGTCGCGGCGGCAGTTAACTTCCGACAGTTCGTTGTAACGACGGCCTTTTCACTATTTTGTGGGGAAAATCTGGTCGTTATCATGAAGTTTACATAAAAATCGGCAAATGGAAAATGATTTCAGTGAAATCGGGACTTTGACATGTGAACGTTATCGGGGTGGAAACATAGTAAACGGAGTACGTTGCAAAGAGGTTCGACTGTATGATTGCATGATTTGTAGAAGTGAGACAAGAAATTTGTGTTGATTTGAGATTGGTTTCATTGCACTCTATTCAAAACAACACAGCAGAATTTGTATTTGTTGCATACATAATGAAAAAAAAGAGATGATGCTCATTGTTTGTGTGTGATTTTTCTTGGTCTTGTCTCGATCTCAACCTTCAAAAGTTTTGGTCTTGTCTCGGTCTTGCCTCGATACTCTCTCGTGTCGAAAGTCTTGGTCTCAATCGGTGTGTCCATTTTGGATATGACACTTTGCTTCAAGATATTAGTGATTTACTTTACGTTGTGGTTGTAAAAATTAATTCTATTGTGTGCACTAATAATTACTTTTACATTTTATGAGATACACGTTTTGTGCCTGGTATGCTGCCTGGTAAGATTCCAACCGAATAACTCTTCATTCTTAACATTTCTTGCATAATAAATGAAAAGAATGTTGAAACTAGTCGTGTACCCTCTCTTGCAGCCATCATCTAACCTACTTTACCTCATACTGTCACCATGATGTCACCGTTCACTCTCCAATCATGTTTTGTAAGGTTAGAGATAAACTGAAGGGGAGAGAATTGAACCCCGAACCGCTAGTGTGCGAGAGACGTGCAAACCACTCCTGTATCACGCTGCCCCGTTTTCCCGTTTGAATTAACAGCAAAAAAAACAACATCACCTGTAGCTAGTCAAGGTTCTCAAGTTAAATTAGCAACTTGAGGTGCGCCTCGTGCGTTTTTAAGCTGATTTGTGCAATAATCTCCTCAAAGCCTGAACAGAAAACCTGTCACGGACAACAACAGTCGGATCGCAAACAACCTTGGGAGTCACCTTGATGGTGTCCAGGGGGTGTCCGGCTAGCAGCAGACACGCTCCGCCGACCCCGCCGGCCACAAAGTTCTTGAACGGAGAAACTCTTGGCTTCTCCCCCATGCTTTCCGCCGCATGGTCCGCGCCGAGGAGCACAGAGGAGGCTTGAGCTCCTCCGGCGTCACGGTGGACGTCCAGTTTATCGGGTGTCGCGGGTCTCCGTTGCACCTGGGAGTTCTGCGCGACTTTTTGACTTTTTTAACTTGAACACTCGCCTCTCGACCACGCCCCCTTTCACGCCTCTTACGTCACCATCGCGTGCAAGAACGGTAATGGGAAACATTCCGAAAATTCATCCGTCACTGATCATTCCATTGATTAGCACATAAAATGCAGTACTAGTGATAAAAGAAAGAAACAAGTCTGCATATTGTGGAATACCTGTAATAACAATAATGCTAGAAACAAATTCATATACTGTATAAATACAGAGGGTGAAAAATGCCTCTACTCTAAATTAACACCATGTAAATGTAACACGATAAATGAATAAGTGTTTAATAGTACGACTAATGGTCGTAGTAATAATAACCCCCCAAAATATACATAAAATATACAATGTTACAATCACCTTTGGACAGTCATGCACCATACACAATGATTGACGAAACAATAACACAATAATAAATAAAAGAAAGCAAACACCAATGGACATGTCAAACACAGATGTATCGCAACAAAAGGAGTCAAACTGTAGCATAATTGACAGTGAATTAAAAAGGAGTGCAGTCGAACCTCTTTTTAAGTACCCCATTTACAATGTTTTCACCCCTATAAGGTTCACATTTCAAAGGATTGAAAAAAAACATTTTCAAAAGATTCTGTTTGGTTCATAAAGCACAAGAAGCCAAGGATGATTTTTTTCTTGATTTTATTTTTCCATGACTGAGTTACATTTTGTAACACTAAACAGTACAACCCTTGTCAACATTTTTATTTGACAAATTCTTGCTCATAAGAAAAAACATTTGAACACACGACAGATATCTTTGCAACAAGAGAAGGGGAACCCCCCCACGCCCTCACTCCCACAAAGCGGCATCATCTCAGTTGTCATTATTGCCCCCCCCCCCCCCACTTGTGTGTCTAATTAAACGCTACAAAGCTACATATATAAGCTGCATAGACAATTCCATAAGAATTTGGCGGTCATGTCAGGCACGCAATGGCATTGGCTGCTTTTTCCAAGGAAGTGATGCCAGCTGCAAGCATTATGACACTAACTGTCCACGCTGTTTGGGTGTGGACTCTAATTTGAGATTCAAATAACTGTGCTAACGGTGAAAAATATTTAAACAGTTTGACGCAGACGACTCCACTTCAAGATTCCTCTCTCAGTTTTTTCACACCGCGCGTCAATCACTCTATTCGACCAGTTGGCTTAGTATTGCGTCAGCAGTCCACGTTGGTTGAAAGTGCACATAATGATAAAGTAATGAAACTGCTACGTGGATGACACAAAAATCCGAACACTGAATGACGATAACTATTATTGCAGTAATCTACCCATTGATTAGTCACATATTCCCTGAGCATCCATAAAGTAGATCATTGAATATGATTCAATGACTTGAATTTTAAATTCTGTGCATTTTGTGACATGTCCTCATGTTTCATAAATCCTATCCCGGAAAATATGTCTTCTCAATTTTAGCTACTTTACATAATCCAGCCCTCAAATTTAGTTTCAGCCAGTTGTGCCAGGAGAGGAAGAAAAACATCCCTTTTTTGAAACCACACAAACTCCAAAGCAATATCATGTCTACACCAAAAGGTAAGCGGACCTGCAGTGGCATTGGATTCCAAAACCAGCATATCCTCTAATTGGTGAATCCACAGCACTAATTGCAATGAATTACAATCCTTTATGGGCAAAATACAATAAAATCCAAATGGCCATTTAATTAATGGAGTGTCTGTGGTTAAAGTGGCCAATAATGACTTTTGAAACTGTCACAGAGGTGAACATGTACTCCTCTGTCTCCAAATGCAGATTATTTTCATTCACTTTATTTTTTAATAGGCACTCGAGGTGTCAGAAAAGTTACGAAATACACAGAAATAAATGATGAATGATGAAGCCCTGGCTTCATCGCAATGACCCAGCTCTACCCTCACCAAGTTTCACCAACCACAACTCGGCTGATAAGATAGATTTCCCTACTTTTTAGCGGTAAGTAGAGCAGCAGTGTTAGCACAGATTAGCGTGATCTTACATTATAAATGTTTGCTTCTGTTATCATGTTAACAGAAGTGCAGAATGACACAATTTCAGAAAGAGGCAGATGACAACGTTTACTTAGTTGTGTATGCTGCCCATCCATCTCATTTGATGGGTGGGCAGCAAATGCAGAAAAAAATTATTTGTTTGCAAAAGTAAATTCTCAAATGTATGTTTCTTGTAAATGTTCTGTTGGCCCATGACTTTCCATCAAAACACCTGATAAGATTTTGATTAAAACGTAATCGCTTCCACACATAGTCTGAGGAATCATACCTGCTCCTTGGTGGGTTTTTTTTGTTTTTGTTTTTTGTCTGGTGGTCTAGATGTGTGCCGGGACAGTCTCCAGCGCCTCTTCTGGTTCTCTATCCACGTCCACGTTCTGACAAAGAGAATACATTGTGACGTCCCCGGCTCAAGTGTCCAAGCGGAACTGAAACAGGCTCACCAAATGGGCCCTACTTTTGAAGCTAACCAAGGAAATGATTCAAGGCAAAATCGCCATTGACCTTGTGGAAAAATTTTGATCACTCATGATTTACTATTTCACTCATTTAAAGGCCAAAAGTAATGGGCACACGAATGCTGCTTCCAGGAAAACCTTGCTGGCTTAGCTGGCTATGTCTGCTAGCACCAAAGATAGTAACTCGGCCATCAAAGTGAAAGTACGCATGACAGACAACACCTTTTAACACATCGAAATATATATTTTATTCAAAAATATGTTTGACAAAAAAAAAATAAAATCCTTCCTGTAATACAGATGGGGCCGACAAAGTTGTATGTGTGTGTGTGTGTGTGTGTGTGTGTGTGTGTGTGTGTGTGTGTGTGTGTGTGTGTGTGTGTGTGTGTGTGTGTGTCGAAGTCTTTGTATTTTCTGGGTGAATTCCTGCGAGACAGTCTAAAACGCTTAATGTGGTTGTAAAAAAGCTTCAAGGTGTTTATTGTCAGAAAACGGCAATGAATTGTCAACAAAATTCACATGCTCATCTCTATTCATGCCCTCTTCAACCTCTAAAAATATCAAAACAATCACCACAGTATTTAGGATTTAGGAAGTGAGCATCTATGGAGAGGATTTAAAATCGGTAATAGGTCGAGATGTCCACATAGATTTTTGGTCATGACTGATTGCAGTTTTCTGGCATCAACTAACGTTAAGCTTTTCCATGAAGAGGAAAACACATAACACCCATAAAATCCAAAATATTGGGTCAATTGTTTTGATATTTTCAGAGATTGATGTGGTCATAGGTAGACAGATGTCCACATGAATTTTGGTGACGATTCGACGTTAGTTTTCTAAAATTAAGTAACTACGCTTTTTTTCGATAGTGAACACGTGTCTATGGGGAGAAAAAGGAGCATTGCCTATAAAATCCAAAATATTGTGACAATTGTTTTGATGTTTTCGGAGGTTGGAGTGGGATAAGTAGAGATGTGCATGTAAATTTTGATAATGATTAATCATAATTTTCTGACGTAAATTGAACATTAAGCTCAACAATTACACATTGTGGATCCATAATTACAATTAAGATCGCCACAAAGTAACCCTACTAACCCCTTAAACCGAGGGCAACTTTGCCAAAAACGCCTATGGAAAGGTGCACCCAAAGTAAATTTGGAGCTGTTCTTGAACCATTTGGAGTAATAGTTTTGGTCTCTTTTTGAAGTATTCAAAATTGTATCATTATGAATATTTCTCCCATACAGTAAGAATCTTTGTAAGTGCTCCTGTCACTGAACTATGGATGTTCGAAAACAGAAAAAAAGGCGAATCTTATGTGTGTCTAATTTCTTTGCACAAAACCTGCCTTGAAAATGGATTTAGAATGTTGATTAGGACTTGAAAACACTACAGGATCAAAGCTTGAGGTCTCCCCAAGTTCCAGTTCAAATTCGACGATTGTAACATGTCGGGTACCATTCAAATCTCCAGAAACTCAGTTTTTAAAAGATGTATAACATGTTCACACATGTACTTAGCTGACGACGTGCGTCAGCGATTTGTTTTGACAGATGACGGAGGGCCCTTCGGCGGGCCCTCCTAACTTTAAGGGTCTAACCTACTTGTCTCGTCACCTATGATGAAAAGCTGAGACTGTTTTGCATTTCACTTGTGTTTGCACTCACCTCAGGTTTATCACGGTGTGTGTTTACAGCCTCGATGTTCAAGAAGACCGACTCCACTTTACATCCTGTGCCACAGCCACATAAGAAGCAAAATAAACAGAAATTAAAGCAGCAATTACCAATCAACGGGCCATTGCAACCCCTCTTTAATGGACAATCCTCCAAATGATCCTCTGACACATGAAACGATGTAAGCAAAAAGATTGCTAATTGACCCCTTTTCTCACAAATTAGGGCTCATTTTGATGAATTCCTGATCGGCCACGGAATCCGAAAAAATACACTGCTTCAAATCAAAATGGCCAACTTCCTGTTAAATTTAAGGCATATGTGTTTCAGACCTTTTTTTTTTTTTTTTTTTTTTTTTTTTACACATGCTGTTGTAATAGATATGTTCACCCAATTTCATGACGATCACTCAAAACTCGTGATGAGGGAAAAAAATAAGAAAATAATTGCATTTTGGAGCATGTCGAGGCCCCCAAAATGGTGATTCATTCACACTAGTCAACAATTTTTAACTACATTTTTTAATCAGCAATGCAAGTAAACGAATGGGTCCTCGGAACTACTTTTTCACGGGAATCATCATAATGATCATCAAGGTTTGATGGCATCCATGTTAAATGGCATAGTCCAGTAAAGCTTTGTAATTTAGAATCCCAAATCTGTCTAAGATACCTGCTAAGCAGTGCCGCTCAAAGTAAGGCTCATTGGGGTTAATTCCCAAGAAGGAGTTTGTCAAATTACGAGCCCTGAATTCACCGAAAATGTCTGCATCAAACCAAAATGGCTGAATTCCTGTTCAATGACGTGCATGCGCCCTTGAGACTTTTCCATGTATCCGATTATGAAGGACATGAGCAGCCAGTTTCATGTCACTTGGTGAAACTGGTGTCGTGGCCTTATTTTCTCAAAATTTCCAGGGGGCGCTCAGCCTTCAAAAGGTGATTCATTCAATGGAACAATAGTAGACAGTGATGCAAAGGGGACAAAATAGATCAAGTACTGTAAGAAATACACAAATCAATCAGAATGACAATGGTAATAATCATATGAATAACAATATCAATAATAACAACAAGAAGAGGAATATCTGTGACTGACCGTAGGCAACTGGGGTGAGTTTGAGGACCGTGTGAAGGGGACACTTGAGGTAGGGCAGTTCCACTGACAGACACAATACATATAATATTAATTATTAATAGCACAAGCGAAAGGATGATGAATAGCAATACATGATACAATCTCACCTGCACTTTTGTCCAGGAAGTACGCCAGCAAACATCTCATGACAGCCTGGTGGCAGATGACCAACACGTTCTCCTGCCTCTCCAGCTCCATGATGACGGGCTCCAGACGCTGGACCAGGTCCTCGTAAGACTAGTGAACACGAGGCATTACAGGTTTGCATCACAGGGCATACTTTCAGTACGTGTGGCTTAAGGTTCATGTTCAGGGTTAGGGTAGGGGTGTCAAACTTATTTTTGTTGAAGGCCATTATGTAGTTACAGCTTCTATCATTGGGCCGTTATGACGGCGAAACCAAATAAATGTTAAGTTGTCCCGTCATATTTTTACATACACTCAAAAATGTAATGGCTTTCAAGTTCTGAAAGCATAAATCAAAGTTAATAGTTTGTTGAATTATTGTTCAAGTTATTGTAAAAAGCAGAACCAAAAAAACTTGCAGAATCTCATCGTTGTTATTTATTACACATGACAATTAAAATGCTGGGACAAATTTTAGCAAGGGTGATGGAATTGACATGCATGATTTGTTTTCGCGGGCCACATAAAATGATGCGGTGGGCCAGAACTGGCCCCCAGGCCTTGAGTTTGAAACTTGTGGGTTAGGACAACAATTCATTTGTCTTTGATCAAATATCAGGAAAAAAAATGTGAAAGCAAGATTCACCTCTCCCTTTGGATAGCGGTAGCGATACTTGTCTTGGTCTCGCAGTGCAAATTCTTCAGGATAATTCTCCTGAATTTCTTCATAGGACATCTCCTCACATACGCCCTGAAACACAACGTAACAGTGCTATAAATCTAACAAGTAGCCATTTTAGTTTCAAGTGGCTATTTTAAGGGCATTTGGGTTGAGCTGGATTCTTCCAAGAAATATTAGTAAATTGTGACCAGACTTGAGACACACCTATTTGACAGATAGAGGGCGCTAACACTTTCATGTGGGCGGAATTCGAGGCCAAAGTTTGAAGGCTAGCCTTGACACAAAAACAACGTGTACTTCTCCTTCAGAGCTTGACCGAACGTCTTCCGTGTTATGAGGGGTTCACAGGCACCCCCTGCTGGCAGAAACGGATGAATGCAATAACTCCCGTCCTAACACTGCTCTGTTGACTCAGCAACACGTTTATAGCAGTTAAAACAATTCAAAAGTTTGCCTGTAGAGTTAATATTGATGTAAGAAAATTCCCAAACCGGCAATGCGCACTCACAGCGTCAATCTCATTGAGAGCCTTCCACTGTTCGTACGCGACACCCAGAGCTTCAGCCGTCTGGATGGTCCTCTTCATGTGGCTGGTCCACACCTTTAGCTCACTGATGCTCTGCTTGCGCACGTAGGTTTGCAAAGCGCTGGCAAACTGGGGACGACACACAACGCAGTGTTAACGAGAGGAGCCGAAGCTACCATGCTACGGCGCTGCCCCGCCACGCAGCTCCTCACCTTGGCGCCGCGAGCCGACAAGCCTGAGTCCCCTCCGATGCGGCCCACCAGGTTAAGCTCACTCTCGCCGTGGCGACACAGGTAGATGGAGCGCGGCGTGACGTGGATGTTCATGAGGTAGTAAACGATTCTACTCTGGATGTGGTCCTGCACGTGGTTCACCAGGTATCTGCTGCCCACGTTGAAGATCTTGATGTAGGACAAGTTTCTGTATTTGGGGGAAGCAGGGGAAATAAATCGGGCCACATTTATATCGTCAGCAAGAACGAAATCACACAGTTGGGAAGTTCCAAGAAAAATGTCTCAAAGGCACAACAAAACTTAAGGGTCAAACTCACGTCAAGTATCTTGTAGATAGGAAGCATCTATGCAGTCAACATTGTCCATGTAGTGTATATATAGTTTGCGGGATTCATGTCCTGTACAGATGCTCTGCAGTCTTTGGGCCTAATTTACCGTGATCCCAGACTGCAGACGTCGAATTGGGTGCTGTTCACTCACTATAACAGATTGCGCGCAGCAGGTGTAAAAGTGGTGGAGATTTAAAAAGGGGTTTTGCGCCTGGGGTAGCTTTGATGGTTTTTGCCATGGAAAGTTAAAGTTGAAGTTGAAGTGATGGAATTTGGAGTGAAAGTGGAAGCAAACACACTTATTGAGCACACCGAAAAAACTGCACTGGAAGTGGCCAGCATCAATTGCCAGTTTACTGAAATGACCCCATTGCTAGGAAAAGCAGCGATATAGCATGACACCTTGTTGTGATTGGCTCCAAGTCAGCTTTAAGATCATTCAGAAGCCCAAATATGCAAAGAAGAATATTCGCTATGTGACGATAAGTTGTTTCTGGCATTTCAAAATTTTTTACACAAATGTCTCTCTATCTTTGCTCATTTTACCTCCACCTCCTCCTCGCCACATCTGCAGTCATCGTTACGCACAGCTCTGCACCGGTCGTTCAGAGGCGGTATTTAAAGATAGAAAATTAGCCACACTTCCTGCATAATAAGATCTGTTTCAATCGTAAATGCTTGAAGTATGTCAGTCACTTTGGTTTACGTGTTCAATGTAGACCATGTAGTCGATCTGACTCATGGTCTATAACGCTACTGTATGTCTATATATCGCAGTTATCCCCTGCGTGGCTTATGTATGTCCAGGTGGTCTATGCAGGCTATGAAGTGAAGGAGTGACACTACCTGTCCTTGTTATCGTCCAGCGCCACATACGTTAACTTGTAACATTCAATCCTCTTCAGAAAATCAGCTACAGCCTCGTCCTTGTCACAATCGATGTAATCGGGACTGCTTAGCTTCACTTGCTAATTCAACAGGATGAAAAAAAACAGTGGTCAATAGGTGTGGTTTTGAATTAACCTAGTTTTGATACATGCGCACACACCCTACCTTAATATTTTCAGCAATGATCTCTGGATCATCACAGATGGATTCCACAAAGAAAACCTGAACAGACATGAGGTGATAAAGACAAATATTATTATGAATAAAATACACAACACATTTGTATGTTGTTCTTTGTAACTAATAGGCACCAGAATACTTCTGGGTGGCAGAAAAGCGATTGCCTACCTGAAACAATGATGGGGATGTGCAAACACATATACAGTACTCCAAGAGGATCAGGTTATTATTATTATTATTTTATGTTTTATTTCCTTTAAAAAAATTTCATTGATCCAGCAGAAATTGTGGGTCAAGAGAATAAATCAGGTGGATTTTGTAAATATTGGATCACTTTTTTTTTTAGCTACAAAAGGTTAGTGTAATTCAAGGAACACACAGATTGCTACTACATTACTGGCCAATAATGATCAAGTGTGAACATATTGAAAAGCGAGACACCCTCTCATTTAACTGAATGGACCGGCGACGCGCGGACCGCTCGAACATTTTTACCACAATCTTTGCTATTTTATCCACAGGATATTAACTTGTAAATATGGTTACATTTTGTTGTAAAACAATATTTGTGAACCATATATACTGAAGGGCGCACGGCTGTGTCTGGCTGTGGCTGTGTGTGTGTGTGTGTGTGTGTGTGTGTGTGTGTGTGTGTGTGTGTGTGTGTGTGTGTCACTAGCTTACTCCCTCCCTGCGTCTGATGATTGCCATGTGCTAGGTTTTGCTGTCCACCAAAGGAGGAATTGGTTGTAGTTAGTTGGCTTGAGCTGTACATGCAGTGCGAGCGTGGAAAGCCCACCACTGATATCATCTTCATTTTCAATAGAGATATCTTAAATGGAGATACCGATACGATCACGATATATCGCCGGGGCCTAGTGAAATGTCCTTCATGATGTCTCTAAGGTTTTCAGCAGCAACGAAAAACAAACCTTGTAGCTGTTTTCCTTAGCAAAGCTGAGAATGAGCTCTCGGCGTTGTGGCGTTGTGTTGGTGGCATCGAAAACCTGAAATGAACACATCATGATTTGATGAAATAAATCATTTTGACTGTCATCCATGTTGGCCAGGTTGTTGGTTCATTTCAAGGGTTCATGTTGGTCTGATGATTTGGTTTCAATCAGCATGTTGGATGACTCACCACCACTTGGCCCTGCTCGCTGGTGAAGTACTCCCACACGTCCTTGAGCGCAGCGATGGCGCACGCCCTGTTGGACAGTGCAGTGACAGTGTGATTAAGTTGTGGCAGGAGAGGAAAAGGTTTTATATTAATCGTACTTCCGGATTTTCATGGCCTCGGCATTGTCAGGTTTGAAGAACTCGAAGCTGTTGTAGGCACGCGTCGCGTCCCGACGGTACTGCCCCACGTTGAACACTGTTGGAGAAAGACGGCAATGCACTCATTTAACTACAAACCGATTAAAATAAAAAAATAAATAAAAATGTACAATGAATTCCAGTATATTACTTGTGGATCAATTTGAGTAGAGTTAAGCATTTGAGAATCTTCGCATGTTGGAGTCGTGATGCGATACCTTTGGTTGTGACGCCAATCCAGTTGAGGTACCGGGTAAGTTTCTTGGAGATGTACGTTTTGCCTCGGGCGGGCAGTCCCACCATAACTATCATGGTGGGTGAGTTGGTAAATTGCGGAACCGAGGCTGAAAAACAATAGCAAAAATGATTTTGCCATCATCACTGCAGCAAACTGGTGAAGGCTAAATGACAGATAAGACCGACAAAAGTCCATTTCTTCATGGAAGAGCTGGTACATCACAGAAAGTCAGCAAAGCGCTGTGCTGACAGTTAGTTTTGTTGTTATAAATGAATTCCAAAAGGAAGATATTGTAAATTTATTAGTGTTAACTTGTCAAATGTTTTAAATGTTTTTTTTTCTTGTTTTTTTTTTTTTTAAGGACTGTATTTAGGGTGGTCAAGGGCCTCTTTATCCAAGTTTTGAATATTGTTGTTTGCTTTTTCTTTTGATCGAAAGGGAAAAACTAGATTAAAATCAGAAATCAGATTTAGGGGGAAAGTTTAGTTGCTCAGTGATCCCCTTGGGGTGAATGACCGGCAGGGTGCCCTGCTCGCGCCGAGGAACGCCACATACGGCGATCTCAAATGCACATTCAAAACCATGCACACAAGCCGATAAGTTCCAGTACTCACATCCTCGACGCTTGCTTAGTCGGTTGGGCACCCACGGCACCCACGTCTTTTCCAGTCGTGTTTGAGTGAGGTGGCTCTGACTGTGGGACATGGCTGTGGCTGTTTGCGTGCGTGTGTTTGCAGACATTGCAGACTTTTAAATAAGAAGGGGTGGAGTCAACCAAGCACCTGTTTGGCTGGTGGCAGATGATGGAGCGGTGCTGATTGGATGATGACACGAGCCGGAAGAGCTCAGCCACAAGAGGCACACAGAGACGAACAACCGTCCGCGCTCACACTCACACCGAGGGACAATTTTGAGTGTTCAATCGGCCTGCCATGCATGTTTTTGGAATGTGGGAGGAAACCGGAGTACCCAGAGAAAAACCCACGCAGGGATGAGGAGAACATGCAAACTCCACACAGGGAGGCCGGAGCTGGAATCGAACCCAGTACTTCTGCACTGTGAGGTCGACCCGCTAACCACTGGATCACCGGCCGCCCCTCATGAGGATGTTTTTATTTCGTTAGCACATTTTGTTTTTAATTTTCAATGTTTTTGTTAGTTTTCATTAACTACAATAACTTTAGTTGCTAGTAAAATTCTTTTTCGGCATGGACTCATGAGAATTTTCTGAATACCAAAAGTGATGAAGCATTATACAATTAAAATTCCATTTACCAGTTTAGAATCATGAATGACATTGCCAAGTTGGGTGCTGGAATTTCACACTTTTACGGTCGCTACCATTACCATTTTTTTTTTTTTTTTTTAATGATGGGAAAACCCTCAAAATGAGGATTTCGCATATGTAGTAAGAGTTCCTTTGAAAATGGATGTTGATCTAACCTAATGCATATATCAGATTACACGGATTCAAACCTCAATCATGTTCAACCATTTGACCCCTGCGGTGGCCCACATTCAATACGGCAAATCCCTGACACTTGACGTCATGCACAACGAGTGGACTTCCTGAGACGTCACCTCAGGTTCACGTGTGTGTGTGTGTGTGTGTGTGTGTGTGTGTGTGTGTGTGTGTGTGTTTAGATGGACGCTCACCTGTGCTCGTGCAGCGCACGCGGCGCAGAGGAGGAAGGTTTTTCTTATTTCTCACGGGTTCCATGAGCGACCACAACCGGGGTCCAAGTGGGCGCGTGCTTGCCTCGCTACGGCCACGCAGCCCCTCACAATCCACGGCCCTGAAACCCAGCCCCCACCATCTCACCCCCGCGCGGTCCCCTCGGAGATGCCGTGCACGCGCGGGATTCCACGCTTAGCCTTTCCGTGAGCAATGATGTCAGCCAGTGACGCCACTGCACTGCGCACGCGCACTCCGGACAGAGGAAAGGCCAATTGGCGATCGGCCACGTGTTTCCTGTTGCGCAACCGAGCGGTGAAGGATGACGTGTCCGTGTATGCATGGGTGCCTCACCATATGGACGTTGAAAGCGGAGTCTTTTCCCCACTGGCACGCCCCCACCGTCTTGCGTCATCTCGGTGGGCTTCATCCTCTCCCAAATGTGACTCCCCAACGGAGCTTGTGAGCGTCCGCGCTGCGCGAGCGTTAATTCGAAGCACTTTTTGTCCTGGCAGGGTGAGTCGTCGACGAAGGAGCCGGGATGGTTTCGCTTTTTCTCCTCGACTTTTCCGTCTTCCACCGCGCCCTCGGCAGGGCGCGTGCGCGAGCATTCAAGCAAACAAACAAATAAATAAGCAATTTGCATTCTCAACGAGACGTCACATTTTTAAAGGGGCATCACCCAATTTGCCCCTTGTAATCTTCACACCAATTAAACGTAACAACTATGGGTACGCCTGTAATACCATAGGAATTGAATTATTTTTTAAAAAGTCCTCATTACGATGTAAAAGTCAAAGTTCAACGAAGAACGGCTTCAAATTCAGTATTACACTTGAAAAAGATATCTTTCGTTTCTCAAGACTCAACTCAAGAGGACTACATATTTTCTTTAAAAACATGCCTTTGATCTAAAAAAAATGGACTTTATTCCGATGTTGATATGCCTTTTTCCTGTATTCATGCAGGGATGTGTTTTATGTTTGTGTTTACACCGTGACGGTTTATTTTACAGCAAATTACACAACATTATTATAGTAATACTTAGAACTAACCAATAACACAAAAATAACCAACACTCATCTCTGATTAAAATGTTTAGTAAGCCTTTGTTAACCAATGTTTTCTTGGCTGCTGTTCTTGTTACACCGCAGACACTACCAGTCAAGCAGTCAAAAGTTTGGACACGGTTTTTCATTCCATATCACAAGAAAGTTTTTTCAAAACTTTTCTTTGACTGGTAGTCTCCATAGCAGAAAAATGAATCAAAGGCACATTTCTAGTCACACGAATGGACCACAGAGATGGCAAGTCGTGATGATTATGCTAGTTGATGTTTATTAGTTGACAGACAGGGATTAGTTAGCTAGTTTGAGCACAGCGCACAATTCAACAAGCAGCTACAATATCAGCACACTTCATTCGTGCAGGACAGCCCTGCCCTTTCATCATCCTCTTCATCATCATCATTTTCATCATCATTATCATTATCAAGCATTGAGAGTGACGCCATGCGACCGTTCCGCCATTTTCTCATCTGCTGTATTGTTAGTAGGTGTTATTTACCTCAATCTGGGGCTTTTTCTCCATATTTTCTATTGTTTTCAGGTTCATATATTGTATATGTATTCATATTATGCATATAAAAGGAGGCAGACATACTGTGTCAGAGCAGATGACCAACAAAGAGATGTTCGAGTGATTTGAGAAATGCATGAAGGGTAGTTGCTCACGCTTTAGTGACATAGCTGACAAGTGGACTGCCAAATGATGATTAAAGCAGAGTCACTTCCACAAGAGCACATATCCACATTCATTTTTTTTTCCAATCAAGCAGTCCTGTCAACTCACTTGTTTAGATGAATGTAAAAATTATCATTTCATTATTATGTAATGAAGTACCACATTTTTATGTAACCGTCAGCACATTCTCTGATAATCTTTTGTAATCTTGCATGTCAAGCAAAAAGAATGGCACCCAGATATTCAGGCAAGCTATTTATTAAAAAAATGTTTGTTAACAAAAAACATTTGTTTGAAATATCCTGCTTCACCAATTAAAGCCGGTGGTTTCCAGAGTTTGACACGTGACATATTCTGTAACCGTTTTTTCATGATCAAAAATTGACCTACTGCTTAAAATTAGTTTTTAAAAATTGGCTTACTGTCATTATAAATGCTTGTATATTGATACTCTTTCTGAAGTCACCGTGGATCTAAAAATCATTCCAGGTTTTTTTCACTTCCATCAATCTTTGTGATATAAAGAAATGATTCCCCCAAATTATTTCAAAACTTTACCCATCATTGACCTATATGCTGCACAAGTCAATTGAAATTATTTTTTTAAATCTTTTCGAGACGGGGAGTAAAAATCAATGACTAATCTAATGTGGTTCACTACAGCTATTCTTGTCGGCATGTCCTGCCTTTTTTTTCTTTTTTCATGACTTTGTAGCAGAAACCTGAAGGGTTTGCGCTAACACAGACTATTTCGAATTGTTCATAATGCCTTGGCATTATGCTGCCAGCTTTGCGCCAAACAAACCTTTTGGACAAAAACTTTAACCATGGTTTTGCAAAATATTTTCTTGCATGTGTTTGGGATATTTTGTTTGGGCCTAATAACATCAGGGTTGAACTTATCCCCCACCCTTTTTTCAATGCAGTAGTCAGTCCTATCGGCGTCCTGATTTCCACAGCGGATTTCTCAAACAGGTAAATATTTTCTGTTTTTTGCATCAAGGCATGTCGTGTTTATTAAAATAAAAGTTTCCTTCTTTTCAAAGTAACATTTAAGATTTTTAGCGTTGTTATATGGCAGGAAAAATCAGCCACCCATGAGGTTGTTCGCCGAGTTCAGTGCAGAGAAATTAACGCAACGGGCAGTTAAAATGTAATAATTTATGGTGGTGACAAAATGTTGAAATTTGATCTGAAACACTGGTGATTGATAGAGACGGGAGGAATGCAGGACGGGACGAGTCGGCGAGACGAGGCAACGTAAATCCGTCTCCACTCAGGAGCATAACAAGCAAAGTCAATGTGTATGTGATTGAAACACTATTTTTTTTTTTTATCCCTCTCCCCATATCGTCAAAAAAAAAACCCCACACACAAGCTAGTGGCTTTGACAAGCAATGGCTAAATGAATTTACCTGGCCCAGGTACTGAGTTCAGACATGCACTGTTATTTATGCCAAAAGCACTGCACCCTAACACAACAAGCAATTACTGCCTCCCTTCAGATTGCCATACAGGCTGGACACATTAAAATGACACGAGGTGACGACCATTCACAAAACAGCAGAAGAGAAGTATTTTAAAGATGGTCGTACCTAAGAAGACACAACTAATAAAGTCATAAAAACTAAAATTATGTAGTTTTGACAGTTTAAGATTTTTGCGGGGGAGGACACTGCAGCGAGCTAATGCAACACAGGTGGACATGGACCACAGACATTTTGAAGGCTGCTTCAAAATAATCGATGGTTCTCAAGCAAAAGTGGCCCCATCACACAAGCTACGAGTCCATCATTCTGCTATGCAAGTTTTAATGAATGTATGCTTTAACATGATAGTAGTCATATTCTTATTGGAACTCTAACCTTAAAGTATGTTTCCTATAAAAGAAAGTGAGTCCGCTGAATTTACAGAACACATGCATGTCATGGTGCATGGTCAGGATGGTAACACCACCAGCCAGGAAAAACCCTCTCGTCACTTGTCTTGGAAATATTACTGGCGTTGTCTAGTTTTTGGTCTTTTCTTATAAATTGTTTTCTTGTGACTCATATAAATGTGCGTTGGTCCAGTACGAGGCAACAAAATAAGCATCATAAATGTCCCCATATTCAAGAGAGCCTCTTCCTTGTCATCGTCACCATTCGCTTTGTGGCTAAAAGTGCTAAAAAAGCAAACAAACAAAATAATTGAAAGTGGGGAAAAAAGTGCTACAACTATGATCTGCAGGAAATGTGTCTCATCTACAAATGTGACACAAGGAAAGCTCTGTGCTGCGGTCACACACTGAATGAACATCGGTATGAGCGGTTTCAGCAACCAAAAAAAAAATCAGCCTGGCAAATCCAACCGTAAACCCTGAACACTAACCCTAATCCTAACCTCAAACCATAACCTTGATCTTCACCCCTAAACTCATCACAAATGACCAAATGGCTCGATGTCAAATGTTATCTTAGCATCCAGTGTTAAATCGACAGCAGAGTTATATGATACAAGATCATTATATCAAAGAGCAAAAAAGAAAAAAGAAAAAAAAAGAAGAAAAAAAGCCATGACAAAAAGGACAATCTTAACGCGGTATTTACATTCAGAGAGCAATAATCAATGGATGATCCTCCATGTGAGGTTTGCTACACAGGACCCATGCTGTTTCCTGGGCCACCAATCGTGTGTGTGTGTGTGTGTGTGTGGGGGGGGGGTGGTCAGGGAGTGATAAGAGGAGGCTCGGTAGGACTCTCATAAGGCAGAGTTTCTCCTCTCAATGCAAAACAACATTCAGACGTTTCCGCCTGGTCGGATGGATAATGATGATAGAGTGCACAAATGGAAAAGCAACGTGCAGCGCAGAGACACGTAATGGACACGCAAAGACACATGCAGACCAAGTGTTTCAAAATGGCCGCTTTCTAGCACACACAAATGTCACGTTTTGGTCATGTGACTCCAACGTCGCCCACCATTGCCCACCTTGTTTGGAGGAAAAGAAAACGTGCACATCTCGGTGGAATTAGTGTCAGGCTGGAAATGTATCTTCAATGCGACAGGTTAATGTGACTTTTTAATGTGTTGTATACAAAAAGTTGTGACTCAGGAGTGTCGGTCCACACAACAAATTTGAAATTAAACAATCACCTATTTCTATTAATCTCAACAGATGAGCTAGCGTAGCTAATATTTTATACAAGTGCAAAAAAAAAAAAACTTAAGCACTGCTAATGTAAAAGGTAAAAAAACAGTGCAGCCAATGGGAGGATTTTAAAGATATATAATAAAGACAACACTAATTGTAATCAATGCTATGAACTGATTTCTGCAATGATTCAGAGGGTTCAACGTGTCTGCAGTTGTCATATTTCTGAATGGAATAGGATGACTTCCACCACGCACATCCATGGATCTGCCTGCACGTTGATTAAATTCAGCCAAATTGCATTACATCCTCTGCGCCAATACTTTGACGCGGTTCCAGCAGACGGATATTTCAGGTGGTTTTGAACCACCAAATTGTCAGGTGTGCTGGGGGCATATCCAATGACACCCAAAGTACGCCGTAACACCCAGCACGGCGCAGAGAAATGTAGCAAATTCCGAAACAAGCGCATCGAGGCTTGACATGAAAATCAGAATACACTAGTTTTGCGCTTGAGCACAGCTGTGCCGTCTACGAATCCACATCGCAAAGAGCCACTTTTTTGGGGGGGGATAAATGTTGACCAGAGAAAAAAGTACCACAGAAAGCATTAAGTAAGTGTGTGTGTGTGTGTGTGTGTGTGTGTGTGTGTGTGTGTGTGTGTGTGTGTGTGTGTGTGTGTGTGAGTGTAAACGTGGCATTGAAAAGGCGAAAAACGGTGTAAACATCCTCTCTGCATAAATGTATGGAATGTATTCAGACAGTGGGTGTGTGTGAATGTGTGTTTAGCTGGGTTGGTTGAGGATGCTCGACATTGATGGTGCGATGGGAGGAGGCGGAGCCGTGTTGTCCGGGGAGGCGGGGCCGGAGCTCTCATGACCAGCAGGGGCTGGAGCGCGTCCGCTGTATTGGCCGATGAAGGAGCCGTCCTCGTTGAATTGGATGTCCACGCTGTCGCCATACTCAGCCAGAGAGTCGTCGCTGCCTAGCTTACTGTCGCCACAAAGCGACGGCTGGCTTTCTGAACGCTTCTCGTCTGTGTCGCTGGGAGAAGATGTGAGGGAAACTCCATGAAATGTGGAACTTGCATGCATCATCAAGATGTCATTTATCGTCTCTCCGTCTACCACTAACCACAAGGCAGTTAACATAAACCCAGGCCAATTTGTTGCAGAACAGCAGGCTGTGGTATGGTTTCAGGAAGCTGCATTTAAGAGACAATACTACCAGAAGAAATCTGGGTTTATTGCTATCCATAATTGTCACGCTTTAAGCTCGCTCTGTATAATATGTGATGACAGGTTCAAGAATGAAGCAATGAAGCCTTCAAAACATGCCCAAAGAGACACTGACAGTGTGGCTTTTACACCATTCTCTTTGTGAAATGGGATTTGCTGTAATGCTGGGGACCAAAACAAATTTGACTCTTGCACATACAAGAAAACAGCATGTGAACAGCCACACTGTCGTGAGTGACTCACAAGTTTAACGAATGCACGAGTTAATGGTGCTACATCGTGTCTTGAGGAGTCCCCCAAGGCGCTACAATCAAACTCCGACAATTTATCTTCCCAGTCATACATTGGACCACATCATTTTCTCAATGGGCGGCACGGTCATGCATCAAGTTCCTCACCTCTCCAAAGATCTGGTTGCGAAGCATTTACAGGGGTGAAAAGTGAGAGTGAGTTGTAGAGGAAAGAGAGCAAAATCATTATTTTGCACTCAGACGACCCACCTGTACTCTCCGAAGGTTTCGTCCTTCATAGGCCGCGCTTCTGAGTCGACCTCTTTGTCTTCCTTATCCTTCACTGAATTGGGCGACAACAGTCATGATGACACCTCAATGGGCAACACAGAAGCGAGCAATTCAATGTGTGCTCTCACCTGCGTATTTGCCACCTTTCCTGCGCTTGACCAGACACAGGATGATCAGGATCAAGATAAGCAGCACGATGGCACTGATGAGCCCTATCAGCCAGCCCTGAGTGGCAAAGCCACCGCTAACCTCCGATGGCCCTGACCGGCAAACAGTGCCGTTAGCATGTTAGCATTTTAACATGCTAGCATTGTTGATAAAGCAGACATTGTTGATAAAGGACAACTTGGATACCTGGTCCTAAGGTCCAACTTGCAGATTCCCACTGAGTAGAGTTCCCATGCATAACAACAAGGTGGTATTCAGTTCCTGGCTGAAGACCTGTCAGTGAGTAGAAGCCCTGCGACGTGTTCACTATTTCCGACTCTTCCCACTGCCCCCCAGCTGCCAAACAGAATTTTGTAGGCATGATCCAAAAAGGAATTCTTACTTATGATGATTATTTTGCCATTTTCTCACTGACCACTCTTTTTAAGGAAATCAATATGGAAGCCATGGTTCCTCTCTCGTTCTCCAGGCACCCAGCTCAGGTTGAATGACGTCTTGTCAGGCATGACGGTGATGTTTGTTGGAGGAACTGCATGGAGAAAAGAGGAAATCAAGTGGAAATGAGCTCCTACAGGCTGCAATTCCAACAAGAAAACAGCACTTGCATGAAGTCAAGTTCGAGGAAGTAACGAGAGAGGACAGAGAACCACAAAACTCAGCCCAAAGAGTAGATTCTGCATGCCAAGTCCCGTTATAGTTGGACATAACTTGGAACTGAATGAGATGAATTCCACTCAGACCATCCACGTCCTTCTATGATGTCTGAAAGTGCCTGAGCCGGCTCATTATTTTTGTAAATAACTTTTGTACACAGGGACACAAGCCTTCCCACCACTAGTTTTCTGACAGAAAATTTGAATCAATGTTGTGCATTGTACCTCCGTCAAAAAGGGTCGCATTCCTCCTGGTGATGGGCTGCCCATCCCCGGCGGCGGTGCGAGCGATCACCTGGAAGGTGTAGTAGCTGCGGGGATCCAGAGAATCCAGCATAAGGTGGGTCACGCTGGGATCGCCGATGATTTCCATCCGCACCGGACTGTCTCGGCTCTTCACCTCTACGTGCACACCAAACACAGCATGATCAGTCCCATGACAAACCATGGTTGATAGTTACATGCAGTGGATCCCAGTCCATTCATAGTTCACTACTGACATATTCACCTTTTCGTTTTGCTTCCTGTCCAAAATCGGTAATAGCTCTCTGGTGAACAAGTCACTGATTCATTACTACCGGTGTACTTTTGTGCATTTTCTGTCACACCAAATGATGATATATGACACCAAAATGCGCTGATTCTTTGATGCCATAGCAGGGGAGTGGCCACCACTTAGGATAGGAGGGGGATTTGAGCGCATACAGCAGTATGATGGACGAAGTCGGGACTCCCTCTGGAGTCGGACGCCAGATGGTAAACTTCTCAAGATGTTGAAAAGAAAGGTCCTGATCGCTCCTGTCTGTGCTATCAGCTGGTAACTGCTCAACGTCAACTCAGACAAGTAGATAAAAAGCTGTTTGTCAAACATCTGATCAAAAAATAAGGAGCATCTATCAATAAGTATCATTTTGGGGGCGGGAGCTAGATTACCTGCAGATTTTTGCTGTGGTGCCTAACCCATGCAAATAGGGAATCAGCATCGTATGTTTCTAAAATTTTATAACCACAAATTTGATAGAATTCCAAAGGTTGCTGGTTGGGTTGCACAGACAAAGATGACCCAGTCAACTTCCCGGAATTAATACCTTGTTGGTACTGCACCATGTATCCCAGGAGAATTCCATTCGTTTGGAGTGGCGGGGTCCAGTAGAGAAGCATTGAGTTCTCAGTGGGGCTCTCAAAGAGCAGCGATGCTGGAGGGCCAGGCACTGAATGAAGACCACAAAATTTCAATGTCTCATCTCTGGACAAATAAAGTTGGGCTCCACCGTGAATCCCACCTCCTTCTGGGGTGCTGAAGTGGACAGCTGGGGAAGCAGGGCTCTCTCCTTTACTGTTAAAAGCAGTCACGGAAACGGTGTAGCGGGAGAAGAGCTGCAGACCCGTCACTTCCGCAGTGGTTTTCCTGCCTTTGACCTCCACCACCTTGTCATCTTCTTTCGCTCGCTCCAATATTCCGTCATCCTCCTTTCCTTCCAGGAGGTGGCGCACTTCCCCAGGGGACCGCCGGGCTCGTCCCATCTTTGCACCCAGTCTCTTGATGTAGATCTGCATCAGATGGGAGCCAGATGTATTGTTCTTCTCAGTGATGAGCCACTGAAGGCCAAGGTACCAAATGAACAGCCCACCATGGCTTCTTTTTGATTCATGTGGAAGTCCACATGTCTTTGACTCAACCTTGAACATGAAGTGACAGTAGTACCTTGTAGCCGAGAAGAAGACCACGGACATTCTGGGCTTCATTCCACCTCACGCGGACTGTGCGGTTCATCACCCGAACTGCCACGTCACTGGGAAACTCCTCGGGAACTGACATAAGGATTTCAGGCTCATCAGGGTAAACTTGTTAAACAGTTAAAAGAAGGATTAAAGTCTGTTTTGTTTTTTTAAATACCATCTTCGCCTGAGTGTCCGATCTCGGCCTCCGGAGCAGGACCTTCTCCCAGTGCATTGACGGCTTGGACTTTGATCTCAAAAGGCACATACGTCCCTGTGTTGTTGACTGAGAAGGGCGGAGACTTCGCATAACCGTGGTTCCAGCGCTCAGTCTTGCCCCCTGCCTTCCTCCATAACACCTTGTACTGGAAGTCCTGACCGTTATGTGATCGCCTGGGCATCTCCTGCAAGCAAGTGCAAGATTCAGGAGAGATATTTTGGTCTCAGTTATTTGTTGTGTTAAAAGTCATTGACCAAACATCTGTTGCTAAGGTTCTGGAAGAACACACTCTTGTGAAATTACAGGTGGCTGCTAAGCCAGATCAACATATCGAAAAAAGCCAGCAAAAGCCCCATTATTTCATACAAAAATGATTGGAATCTTTTTTCTTCTTTGATCTGCTTGGAAAACACTAGTTGCTTGTTAGCGTCCATTATCTGAATCACTTTATCCTCACGAAGTTGGCAGGATCAATATTCACAATCGTAAAATCCCAACATGTAGGGTCAACACGGAGGACGGATTTTCACCTGAAAACGGGTGTCAGACAATTACGGAGGCAACTGAAGCATAATAAATTGAGGGAAAACTGGGTGAGGGATTGGATTAGGAAGACAAGAGTTGGGGCAGCTAAGTGATTTTGTGTTTAACATGTCTGCCTCACAGTCGAGAGGTTCAGGGATCAATCTTTGCTGTTGTGGGGTTTGAATGTGCCTGTCAACAAAAGCGTTTACAATGATTTAGGTGCATAGAGATAATTGTAGACTTTCTCGTACTTACGTCCCACGTAATAGCCAGTGTTCCAGAATCGGAGGATTCACTGCGAACACCAGTGGGGTTGTTGTGTGGTACTGAATACATGAAAACACATGTAGCACATTAATGACTGCTGCTATATAT